GATATTCTATCATAACTCCTCTGATAGAATAATGATGACGGATTTATCATGATACTGACTTCATATAATCGATGATCTGATGACTGATGTCAAAGGATTGTAAGTATCGCGAAATAAAAAAATCTAAACATAATAAACAGGATTAAGTAAAAACCTTAGTGTTAAAATAAAATAAAATAACAAATATGGACTGGACATTGCACACTCCGTTTGAATTATATACAGGTAATTTTGTTCAAAAAGATCTAATCACAATTAAATCATAGATGAGAGAATCAAAAAACACAACACCATATCACCCTGTGGGTGTCGTAAGAGACGACAGAGGGAAACAAATCAGGAGATGGGCAGCAGCGTCATGGTAATAACAACTAAAAATAAAAAAACTGCGGTTGTCAACTCGCTTGCCAGGCGTTCCAATTATGGCAATAATTTTTTTTATAGGATAAGGGTGACAAACGAGCACACAGTCTACTTGATGATAAGTGGTTGCTGCGGCCCATAGATATCTACATCTATTCTCGATTATGCAGATGCGTTGTCACCCGTGAGGACTAAGACTTAATGCCTCGTTTCCAGTAAAAAGGTCTATGTTTAGCAGTGGACTTAGATAAGCTGTTACGGCGTTACCGTAAGATAATCAAAAATTCAGTCAGTAATTTGATTCTTCTGGTTTAAAAACAATTAGTTTCATTTTCCAAGAAGTACTTTAAGATATATATATATAATTTCTATATTATATATATAAAATGAAAATGCAGGGTTTTTTTCAAAAATTAGCTAAATTTTAAACATAAGTTCAAATATATAAATAATGATTTGCCATTATTGCAGTTTTTGAAAATATGAGTAAATAAGGCTTCTAATTTTATTTGAAACTATCCCAAATTGAATGTGATTTACGGGCAACAACGTTTTTGCCTACCGATCGATCCTTACGAATGTGTGCGTGCGCAGTAAAATCAGTTAAAATGATACATTACCACGCATTTGAATTTAAAGGATAAAAATGTCAGAATTACATTTTTTAAATTAGTTTTCTTCACTATTTGCCTATATTACTTGCACCTACTGTGCAAATTTGGCCGGTTATTGCAAAATAACCCTGTACTTATAAATTCTCGGTCTTTGAAATGAATTAACCATTGTTATGGTAGCACTGTTGCTTGGGACACATGTAGGTAAGCAGTAAGTGTTTGTGTCGGAGCGTTTTTTAAATGAGAGGGGGCAATTGAACATGCCTCTGCGGAATGATGAGGATGCAGAAATGACGGTAAGTGACTACCGCCACTCATGAACAACTGTAACACCAGGGGAATTGCAGGTGCGTTGCCCGTTCCGAAAGTATTTGCAAGATCCGAAAATTTTAAATTTCGGCCAAGAGATAATGTTTTGAAGTATTATATTACTATTTTTATAATTTTGATTTACAATTCGTCCCTCCCTGATCCCTCGTACTTCTTGTGTAAGTTCCAAATGAGAAGTTAAATATCTTTAAAACGTCTCAGGCAGCTGATATCTTAAAAACTGTTCGTATATTTTTAGAGTATACTCACATCATCTACGGTATACCTACACTATACACGTTTACATCAATTCATACATTAGATAGTTGCTTCTCCCTACTTGGGAATGACCGACTTGAAATTATGCTAGTGCAAATATATTTAACACAGTTTGTTTAAAATTATGCTTAAAATACAATATGTTATTAATTAATTTATCATTTAATACCTGCAGGCTAACTGGCGTATTTTTGAAAGCCTAATGGGCAATCCAAGTGCCAGGCTTCCAATTCAGAGTTTTTTCCTTTTTCCCAATGTTCCTCTGATGTGGAGATCAGGGACCATTTGTACGTACATAAGGTACTCTTGTTTTATGTTTAAAGTTCAGTTAAGACTACGAAGTAAGTTGGTGGTCAGGAATAATGACACTTGTTGAAGCTCTGTCACTAATTTGATATTTGATAGCCTGGAACCATATTATGTCACTACGCTTCAAGTTTTATGAAAAATTGTTTTGACAACTTGGCTTCTAAAATTAGTGCTCAACAGTGGAAATTTTCTCATGTTTCAATTAAAATCTCATTCAAAATAGTAACTAGATCTTTTTGAAGTTAATAGATATATTATAAAATAAATTAACTTGCTTAATAATCGTTTATAAAAACATTAATTAAGTGATTTGCAATTCTATTATAAAACACTTTTACAAAACTAAATTAAAATATTATAAAAATAAGGTTGACATTTATATTAATTTAAAATTGAAATTGGCTTGTTCGGTAGTTCTATTATTATTAGATATGGATTTCCGGCCATAGAAATGTTTTGAATTAGTGGTGCTTACATAATATATTAAATTTTAGTAGTGTTATAATACAATCAGAAAATAATTTAAAATAATTTTCTATTTAAGTTTGCATTTTTAACTCTCCAGTTATAGTTTAGAGTTCTTAAATTAAGTTCCTTTTATTTTCCTACCTAATTCGATACATTTATAAAATCTAGGCAATCACACTAAACACTTAGTACTAAATAAATTAATCGATATAATTCTATAATATAATTTATATTCGTACAGATTAAATATAACAATCTGGATAAACAAATTGTTCTACTTTTATTAATAATCTTTAAAGATCTGCCATAGCTCAAACCCATGACCTTAGTAAAACAATTTTTTGCGTCAAAGGATTATTCCATGTTCTCCATTTCCTGTGAAAGTTGTGAAGCTTATTAAAATCTGATCTTTGTGAAACTATATTTGTATATTTACGGACGCGAAAAGTTATTTTTAATGTTAGGAGTTCCCCATAATCTAGAATATGGCTTGTCAAATTTGATATAGTAGACTGAATTCTACCAGATGGCTGCTTTTGTAAAACATTTTCAAGTGAAATGAATTCAAGTAATATTAGATCATTGCTAGTAGTTTAAAAAAAACATAAACAAAGTTATTAAGAAAATTAAGGACAATAACTGTCCTACAAAATTCTTATTCAAAACTATAAAACTTACTAAGGAAATCTAATTTCATACATTTCTATAATCAACCATTACATATTATATGATATGAAAGTCCGAAGACGTATACGTTCTTGTACTATTAGTCAGTCATGTTAGTTGATATTTGAGACAAAACGTTGGTTGTTTCTTGTGTTAGTCAATGTTACTTAAAACCTTTGTTTATTAATATTTCGATGATTAGTACTAGTTTTAGAAACAACTTGACTAACTAATGCCAACACTGACAATTTTGTCAACTTGACCAACTTTATGAACTTGTGTAAATGCCCGTTTGTAGTGTTATTTAATGTAACTAATTTATCATCATCATCATCGTCATTATCATTACAGCTTACCACAATTCCACAGCCAAAACTAGGCCTCCCCTAGGAATCCCACAAAGCACGGTTCCGACCGACCTACATCCATTGATTTCCTGTATCTAACTTATTCTAAATATTTAATAATAATTAAATAATGTAATTTAAAATGAAAGCTAAAAATTTGTTACATAAAATAATACTAAAAATATTTTTAAAACAACATTACACATAAAAGATGATTTAAAAAAAAACAACATTAAACATAATATACCTATGTACAGCCCGCATTTCTAAAGCAAATGGTATTGATATATTTTTTACTTATTTTAGGGGAAAAAGATATGCTATAATATCATTTATTTCTTATTTGTATTTTAACAGTTTAGTAATTAAATATTTAATATACAAGAAACTTGGTTAAATGGAACTCTTGATTACTAAAATATTCAATAACTCCTAAATTTTTTAAACTGAAAAAGTCTATAATTGAAACCAATTAAGTTCTGTAACCGCACTCCCACAATTACAACACATTTTGTTCCAATTGGATATTTGGTAAACTGGGCAAATGGAAAATATAACTAACTATAACTGAGAAAACATAAGTGTATTGTCTATGAGATTCCACTAACCAAGTCCAACTGTCTATTATTCACTCGGATATCGTTTAGTCCCCTAATATCGATTATTGGTTGAGTCTAAAACGCCTGTTTAATCTAACCTCTAATGTCGTTCCAAAAATTAAACTCCTACTGAATTTTTTTTTTTTTTTATTGATTTACGACTCTTTTATTTGGCACTCATAATACTATTGTTCTGTAATAAAAGTTTACAAGGAAACATTAATTTGAATCCGTGGGACCATTTACGACGTTAGATTAAAACCTGATTTCAAATTTAGGTCGGTTTGGAGACTGGAGATTTCAAAACGTAGTTCTATAAAGCTGCAGTTGCATAATTCAGTATGCAATACTCTGAACTGCATCTCGGTAAGTAGCGCGTAACAGACATTCTTCAATGGTCAAACATAATCAAAACCATCTAAATAAATCTCTTGATATACGAATAGATATAGAAGAGGCTCTCGTAAATTAAGATTTCTTCATGAGTTTCAAAATATGTTTATAGACGTATTTGCATTCTATATTGAACGATAATCTCGAAATCAATCTACTATATTGATTCGCTTTTATCTCATAATTCCGTTCAAAGTGTATTGCACACTAATTTTAATTTACAAAGTAACATTTTGCTTCTTTAAGAGCATGCAACAAAATGTTTTAAAACTTGCAACATTGTCTTTTGTTAGATATATTTGGTTTTAGTTTCCTTATTGTTCTTTAATTTGCTTTTATTGTCTAAATTTTTAATTTTTTTTTAATATTTATGAAGGTCTGGTTATGTGAATATAAAAATATTGCAATTATCGTAAGTTCCGTGTGAAAAACTACAAAAGTAGATTGAACTATTAAGTAATTTCAAAACGTTTCTGTGAAATTATAGGTTATAAAGATGTCAATCGCTAAGAACTATTTTGAAATGTAGAGTAAAAACTTGCATTAGAGTCAAACTATAAATCTACATCTAAACAGTTGGACCAGTGAAGGCATTAACTGGATTTGTGTGACGGTACATCGCCGGAACCGGCGCGGACTCAGCTGTCTCTAGGTCACGCTCGACCCAGCATGGCGGCCACGTCACCAGCTGATTGGGAGTGCAAGAGTGCTGTGCGGGCAGGTCTAGGTGGTGCTAGGCGAGGCAGAGCCAACACTCCTGCTGTTGTTGTTCCCAGAGCGCAGCCCGTAACGAACTCGTGACGTGTCGCCTCTGTAGGCGTTATGCGGCGTTTTGGATCCCATCTGTAAAGAGTACTTGGAATAAGTAATGCGGATTACTTTAAGGGAATATAAACTAGAATTTTAACAATGCTTTGCCGTGTAGTAGCAGTGTCAAAGATTCCACTACCCCATATTATCCTGTAGTTAGCACAGGATTTAACTTTTTGGTTTCCTAGATTGTTATAGCAAACTAGCTGTTCCCCGTGACTTTGTCCGCGTGGAATTTATTACGATGGATTTCATGGGTTTTAATTTTTTTTGAGCGGAATCCTAATTCTTTTTCTTAAATAAAAGTAGCCTACTTAAGTTACTCCTTATGACATCAGCTATCTGCCAGTAAAAGTTCCGTCAAAATCGGTCCAGCCGTTCCGGAGATTAGCCGGAACAAACAGACAGACAGATAGACAGACAGACGGCTATACAGACAGACAGACAGACAAATTTTTTAAAAATTGATTTTGTTATAAGTAATGTATATACTTTATTAAGCTTTAGTAAAAAGCTGTTATTTTGACATTACAAACGGACACTTCTATTTTATTTATTTGTATAGATGGTGCTCTAATTTTTAATTTTATATTGGTTTTTTATTTAAAGAAAAGTATTTACAATTTTTAAGGTATACTTTAGTAGCTGAAATACTATTTCCTCGGCTTTTTAATAGCGAAATCCTTATTATATTCATATATTTTAATTTCTTAAATTATATCTTAAGCAGCTCATGCAAAACCTAATGTACCTACTATTTCCTTTTGACTAGCAATTGGCATAGTTATAAGGAAGGCCGCATTTTCGCATTCAATATTCTGAATCTGAAAACGCAGAAGTGCTTACTGTACCTTACAGTGCAGTGATTCAATCGCTGCCCGTAAGTGTCTTAAGAGGCGACATAAGGAGATGGGCAGCAGCATCTTCCTAGTTTAGTTACAACTCATAAAACTTAATAAAAATAGCAGTTTTATTGTATATCTTTTATTGTATATGTAAATGTGCTTGTCTTTACATATTAGTAAGGTATAAACACATTAAATGAGACTGAATAAGAGCGCGTAGCTTGACTTTGTCGAGTCGACAGTAAAGTTCAACATATTCCTTTCAATTTGTGCGTACAAGTTGTGCGATAATAAAAACTGTGGTTGCCACCCATTTGTGGTTGACCTAAACCTAATTGTATGGGACACAAATGTTTTGTACTAGGTATTACAAAAAAATTAAAATTAATTTGTGAACCGTATCGACATATTATTTTTTCTCTGAAGGTTATAATAAAATTTCATTGAGCATTAATCTTCTGTATAAGGCGTTAGAATTATCGACACATATACCAACAATATTATCGCATTAAATTGACCTCGTTACGTTTGTGCTGTCAGCCACATAACATATTATGTGCCTCTGTAGAGTTTCAACTTAAGACTGACCGGCTGGTTGAAGACTACGCAAGCCTCGTTAGAATTGGCTTTAGTTATTTCTGCCGCAGATTTAAATGTACAGGAAATTCTAAAAACAAGTTCTACTTTAAATGATCGTCGTGTTACGTCGCTTATTTTAGTTTTATAATATGTCCTTATGCAAGTTGATCATAATCACTTGCGCTTACTTAAATCCTGATTTTTCTTCAAAGTAGTAAGTTTCACTACCGTACAGCCTATATAGGGTTCTGAGAGCATTACGGAGCAGGAAACATTTCTTTAAATATTTTTGTTATCACAGAAATGCGGGATTCTCTCAAGGTTTAACCTCACAACAGACAACTAATTAATTACTAACATTTGGATAGTCTATGTGATTTCAGATAATATTATTACTTAATATGGGTGTTGCGAGAGACCTTTTTCATCACAACAAAGTCACTCAATCAATGAACGAAAAGCAATTGTTAAAATTTCGGTTATAACATGATTGAACGTTATTAAAGATGAATGATGATCTGCTCTATTGAATTTTAAGTCTTATAAAAAATAATATTATATGAATTTTTTTAAAGAAATATTAGAGCTGTTTTCGAGAAACCATATCTTGTGTACAAGTATAATATACCAAATCAAGTGTATATTATACTTGTTTACTATCAAAGTGACGTCATGACGGAATCTAATATGGCGGATAGCATTTTGGATTTTTTATTAAGAAATTTGGATTGGATGCTTGTCTTTTAAGCCATGTCTTCATTTATCTTAGTATCAAGTGATGTCAGTTATAGTACACTGCTTCACAATATGTTGATGCGTCATATTGCGTAGTTTTTGGGAGATTTTGACGACAACTTGAGCCAGCAGGCAGTTGGCGATATTATCTCAAGGCGCCTTATCTGTAAATATCTATAAGACAGCCACCTTATCTTGAGATTCACATCACCATCGGAGCACTTGTTTCACCGTTTCCACTAATAGTTTACATGCGCAGACATTTAATACAAAAAATAGAACCACTTTTACATATCAAAATCCACTTCAAAACATTATTCAAATAATAATGCAGGAACAGCAATCCGCCGCCGGTCAAGTTCCCGCCAAAAACTCTTTGTTCATTTAAAAAAAGGAGAGGCACAGATTTAAAAAAAAATATTCTTAAAAATGAATTATAAAATTTATAATGCATTTTTATAAATAGAAATCAACATTACTCGCTAACTTTTTACAAAACCTATCATAAATACTTTTTTACATGTTGCAAAATACCTTATTGCGCACTTAAAGTATAGGATTAAAAGATATAATTGACTAATTGCTGTGAATTATACAATGTAAAGTTGGTAGTTAAGGTTTTTTTACTTAATTCTTGTTCTTTGGAATAGCAATTTAGTGCAAAACATTTAAGATGTCTTGTTAATAAAGAGAAAATATTTCGAAGTTAAGTGTACCTACATACCATGTTACTAGAAAAAGTAGTTTATAATTAGTTTCAAGTTTTAAATTAGAGTCCATTTTAATAAAGTCCCGCGAAAAATATGCGAAATAAAATGTTGATTGTGGAATCCGAATAAAACTACTTTTAAGGAATTTATTGCGTTTTATTTTACTTGTTTTTAATCTTTTACGGATTTAAGCGACCATGGTCACGTAAATCCGTAACAGTAGTTTTATTAAATGTAAACTGTTCGCCTAAATATAAGAAATCTTTATGGAATCTGAAAGCAAATTGCAAATTTCGTGAAGGCTGTGGCGCCGCGGCTAAAGTATTTCGTTTGTGAGAAAGACTCTTTATTATTTATTAGTGACCCGGCCGGGCTTTGCCTGGCTATTAGTGTGGCGTTTTTTTAGATTTAAGATCAATATTTCGTTTTTTTTTAAATGTCCAATATAAAATATAGCCTGGGCAATATGGGACTCCTGGTATTGCTCTCTATTTGTTCGCAGTGCTTCAGTCATTGTGTGTTCAGTCATTCCGAAAGACCGGACTGGGCTTAACAGAAGCCAGTTATTTCGATATTTCAGACAGACACTTCAATTCTACTTACATATGTATAGATTACTTATTAATAAATAAATAATCAATATATCACGATTTGTAATAACACATAAAGTTTGTATTGCTAACTGAACACTTGCGATCCAATAGACCGATACCGCTAACCGCTTAGCTATGCAGATAATAAAAGTCGATATAAGAATACTATACAAGTGATATTTCCAAACATGCTTATTTGAAATTCGTTTGTGTAAGAACAATACAATATACGAGTAGATAACATATGATTTGACGCAACAGATTGTAATTCAGTTTGCATATGAAACTTTTATTACAGAATTTCTCATATTGACCTATAGAGCCTCAATAATAAGCGATGCTTGGTCCATATCTCTCGTTAACGCTGAAATGTGTTCGTCCGTCGGTTACACAATCGAAATCCATTCGTTGCCAGGTGTAAGATACTTTCAAATTCACCGCAGTCGCTCCGAGTAGTGACCATTGCTACCTACATTTAGATCAAGGCGAGACTATCACTTTAGGTTCACATCTAGATTTACTTAGGTTACCTGGGCGTAAGCTTTGCTAAGGCTTTTAAAGTTGTAAAGACAGAAAGAGATATATGTGCGTTATACGAGTTAATAGAACTTTCCACATAAAGGACTTAAACAGAAACAGAAACTTTTTTATTCAATATAGATTATAAATAATACTTATTGAAAGACATTCTTTTATTTAATTACTACTGGTTCGAAAAAAAAATAGATCATGAATATTCCAATCTCAAAAGAAAACCGACTTCAATATAAATTATAAAGAATAACTTAAAAACTATTGGGCGGGTTATTCGTCATCTCGCCCGACAAAAACTCGCCCGTTCGGGCGACTTGGCACCTTTCGAATTTACCTAATATTTCTGTCGTCAACTCGCACGCTCGTACAAAGTAGAGCCAGGAAAAAAAATTAAACTAAATTTTAAAAACGACTTCAAATAAAATGACATTGTATTAAATCTTACTCGCCCAACCATAAAAATGTGAGGTAACTTAGTACAGTCTCATACAAAAATCATTTTTAAAAACGTTTAATATATTATGGTTGGACTTTAATAAAACAAAATATTATTATATCATAATTTTAAATATATTTCACAGAGCAACATCTCAAAAGTATAAAAGCATGTTTCACCAAATAATAATCAAAGTAAAAAAAAATTAATTCGCGAATTCTACTTCCAACTCATTTGACGGAAAATCCGGCTCACAATTGTGTCTATCCTCCCGCTTGATAGAGTTATCAGTATTTATAGTAAGCTTTGCTTTGCATATAATTCGTTTAGAGCATCTCCAAATACAGGATCCTTTATTTTTCCTATGTAAATTATATTTATGGCCCGCACGAAGAAGTACTGGCTTTCCTCTTTGTGAAATAATTGTTTTTAGACCAGTTCCAGAATTAGATGGACCAGATTGTGATTCAACTCCTAAAAAAAATTGTTATTATTGAAACCGGTTTTTTTGAATCAATCCGTGAATAATTATCTAGGCAAAGCAAACCATTTTTTTTTATAAATTTCTTTCTTAAAAATTACTTATAGTCATAAAAAATAT